AGGGTACCATTTTCACAAGTTTTTCAACAATATCCATTTCAACCTGTATATCAAGAAAAAGAAAAATCCATAATCCATCCAAACTTAGCTTTGTTGTCAATGTAAAAGCCCTCTCAGTGTGTTATGTATTCACATGTATGCAAATACATATCCAATTTGTACCCATAACAGTGACTGTCAATGCATTTTCATCTGAAGCAGTTTTGCTTATGTCTCTGTGGTTGAAGTCTTCTAGATTGGGTTACTGCGTAATGTTGATTAAAAAAGTTTTTGAACCGAACAGTTCAGATGTCTTGGAAATATTCCTCACAGTTGGAATACTGCAAGAATGTGGTCAAGACTACACTTGCAAGACTAGATTGGGGGGTGGGGGGGGGAACTCATTTAAACTTAAACACAAGCAACCCTGGAGCAACTGACATTACAGTCAAAGATATACCCAACCAAGAAAGACAGAAAATTGGCATCCAAAAAGAATTTGAGACCTTTCATTATGAATTTCAAATGAACCCCTAGACAGAACTTCGCATGTGCTCTCAGAAGAGGCATGCTGTCCTGTACGTTAATTTAATAAAAGCATGAGAGTCATCTTGAAACATGTATCACTTTCAAATTAAAAAGTGGAATCCAGGAACTGAGAAGTGGTATCAGTTCCTGAGATCATGTTCACTTTACCAGCCAGAAAAGACATCTGAGCGTTGACTGGCAAGACTTCAGAAAGTTTTTATCATCTTTTAAGCAACATTTCTCTGCTTTTATTTGACATAATCTTTTAAATGCATTCGTTCTTTGTTTCTCAGAATCTTCTTTGGCCAGAAGGAGGCACATAAAATTACTTCGTATTCTTCAAGCTTCTGCATATATGTAACTAGCCTTCCAGTTATAAATACACACAGAATGAATACTAAGAAAAGAAACTACAGCTCTCCCCACATGGCATAGTGCAATATGCCATGACTGGATACCTTTAATCAAGAACAATCAGATAGCAAGAACTCCTACTTCACTGCTTTGAATTTAATATGGCACTTGAATACCAAAGGAGAGAATGTGCTATAAATACATGTGGATTATTCAGTTTTACTTAGAATCAGGCATTGCACAACTCATCTTGATTCATTTTGCTTTCGACATTTTTGTGTTATTGCCCAATACAAATATTAGAACACCTCCTTCACTGGTAGCTTTCCTTAACAATACTGTGGAGAAAAAATTATCGTCTTTATTATCAGTAAGAAATGCTCAAACAGACAGCTGACCTGAAGCATACATACAAACCTTTTTAAAAGTCTTTTCAAAACTGTTAAAACACTCTGCAATAAAATAAATTCAACAACTTCATTTGTCTTTCCACTAAATCAAATGGAATGTGGGAAGTGTGCCAGCAAATCAGTGGGCTGGACAGCTAATCCTTATTTTCCTAATAAAGTCCTTCAGGGCACTACACAAGTATAAACTAAATCAATGACCAATCACCTGATAAACAGTCCACATTCCCCCAAAAATGCATGCTTGGTGTCTGACTTTGTTAAGAAATAGGATACCCATACATAAATAAGGGAGATACCTCTTTGTCTGCAGTGTTCAGTCATTCGCATGCATATGCACAGTTCCAGTAACAAAGATGCAATTAATTTTCTACTGCATTTACACAGATCTTTTCTTGTCACAATCTAAGTGTAACATTAATCTCAGATTACCTCTTGGATATGGAAAATTTATTATTTTCTTTTAACAAACTGGCATAAAAGCACACAAGTGAAGGCATGTATCTACTAAAAGCCATTGGGAAACCAGTAAAGGAGATACTTGGCTAGAGCTTAAAGTCATGAAAAAAAAAGATACAATTTCAGAAGTTTGAGACTTCACCTAAAAAAAGGCTTATGAAGAATAACACCGCCTCCAATTCTCAGGAGCTACTGGCAGCATGAAGGAACAGTTGTGAAGTGCCTTTGAAGCTGACCTAGGAAATAAGTAAACTAGTCTAGCAAACTGCAAAAGGATAACTACCTCTCTTTCCAAGACAATACATGGCAGAGAATAATATGTTGTCAAAAGAGCCTAGTTTGGGGGAAGGGTCATGGGCATCTCCAGAAGTGGGGGTGTGACAAGACTTTGGGGTGCTGACTTCAAAATTTGGAATTTTATGTATCATATTTTGAGGTAGCTTCACTGCTTGAGATGACAGTCTTTCAAAAATTTTTGCAGTATGTTATGGCTGGATGTTGTACTTGTTTTCTTTTACTCATTTTACTAGTAACAAAAGAGGATAATCAGTGCCATGGATATTTAGGGTGGGGACAAAGATGTCTTCCTCTTCCCTCCAACCACACAAAGTTTTCAGAGTCCATACCCTTCCAATATTGCAGTAGCATGCTATGAGCCTTACCATATCATTTTTGTTCTCCATAAAAATGCTGAGTTTCTTCAAGAAAGATACAACCAGGATAAGCAGCTCAAAATTATCACGGTCCAGTGCTTTCACTAACATATGGACAATGTTCTTGTTTCTCATCTTCAACTCAGTGCGAGTATCCTCAGCAAGATTTAGGAGCAGGTAAAGCGCAACTAACAAAGTCCAATACAAATCATACCAACAGATCAAAGATAACAGAACTAAACAAGTCTCTATATACACATTAAGTGCTTAAGACAAGACTTTCAGAAGCAATCTATTCCCTTCCCAATGCATTCTGAAGGAAACTGACCATGAATGCTTTTTATTCCTGTTTAGAAAGCATTAAGATGATGAATTCTAATAGTGGCTTTGAAAAAAAATTATGATCACTAGAAGCTTTTTATATTTTTGTACTTTCAATTCCAATGAGAACCATTAAAAAGCCCTTCCCAGGAAAGCTTTGCCACTCAGATCATTTCAATCTAACATTAAGTGTAATTTAGCACAAAAACTGATAGAGTGAAAGCTCTTCCACTTGAGTCAGATACAGGCTAAGTTAGGCTAAGTTAAAAAACCCAAATCAAACGTACAAAACCAAAATACTCAACTCCTCCCAAACCAACTTTTCTTTGCTCATGATGTTAAGTGGATCACTCCTGCTATTCTTCCTAAGACTGACAGATCACTTTAAAAATTGTTAGCATACTGTCAAACAATCTGATGAAGTACTCATCTTCTCCCTATTCTTTGGCAATGCTCTTCCATATTCATCCACACATTCAGTATGTTTAAGACATCCTGGTTATAACAAGCATCCAATAGAACTCTCTAACCACACTCACCAACAAGGAAACCATTTGCTATTTGGATTTGGTACCTCTGAGTAGCTGTTCCTGCTTGACAACCAGCCCTTGATACTTCTTATAAGTTTTCTCATAGTCCTTTTTCAGGGTTTGATTTTCAGGATCTTCATCAAGTAAATTGCAGAAGTTAAGGAGCTCAGATAAAAGTTATACAGTCTAGATGACTATTGTCCTCAAAGGTGTTATTCAATCAGTAATAAAGAGATCTATGGAATAGTCAGTGTAAAGATCCTACCTCAGCAACAGCTTGTTCCACCTGTAATCTACTGCATGATTTTTTTTTCTTCCTCCTAGTCCTGGATTACATCCTAATAGTCAGCAAAAATGTTCCTAAGACATACTGCTGATAAAATAAAACATTTTTTTTTCTTGTGTTGTTTTAGTAACTTCAGCTTAATCTCTTCAGCAGCCCAAACGTCTCACTCTTGGTCTTTTTCCTATCTGCAATTATATTTTGCACTTTCTAGTAAATTCTACTGCTTTCACAGGAGTTGCTGTATGCTCATCTCACGTAACTCAACAACAGCTGTCAAATCAAGTCAGAATCCATCAAGCTGCCCCAGCATATGAAAAGGATATCAGCTTTCTTCTTTTTAGCAAGTTCTTCCTGCCAAAGCTCATGTCTCTTCAGTTCATGGTCTATGATATTCATACACAGAGCTCCAATTTTGTAGTGTGTGATTATTCCATGAAACTGCGAAAAACTACATTGAAGAAAAAACACCTGTGAGGAAAAAAATAAATGCAAACAACCCCAAATCTGTTTTGACATCTATGGCAGCAATGTCCCAACACTGCACCACATGAAGTATTAAAAAAAGGTATTTACTCTGTGCCCCATTATAACACTTCTCTATTGGAAAATTATTTCAAAACAAAAACAATTCCTGAAAACATGATTATTTTTCCCAAACTTGTAGAAGGACAAGCAACAGTATGTTGTTCCAAGTCAAAACAAAAACACATTGCAATTTTCATGCATAAAGGAAAATGTTTTTATATTAAGTGCTTCAGAGGACCCTCTACTCACCAGAAATATAATAGAGGTCTAAAATCAAATTGCAACGCAAATTCCATTTGAATTATTTCTAGGCAGGGTATGCTGAAACACTGGCATATCTAAATAAGAGCAAGCACTCACTTCAGTTTTGAATACCGTTTCTTCCCTGTAGGAATGCTGAGGGAAATAAAAAGGGGCAGCTCAGCCTATAAGCTATGGGTCAGAATCCTTACTAGTTTCTTCCCAGCTCTACTACACACTGCCTCACCATGAGGGTTCTTTTCGTGCCTCAGTTTTGTCCTTTATAAAAAGTGCGTTTCCGTCTCACCAAATTTTTTTCCTGTTTCAGTGAGGTTTTGTAGTGCAGTGCAGAAAACAACTGAAAAGCCACTAAGCAAAGTTCCTTATGTCCCTATACACAGGGACTCTGCACTCACCTTGAAAAGCAGAAGAAAATATAAATTATATTGGTAGCAAGTTCCACGCTTTGTTTCCAGTCTTCCCTCAGCACTCTAGCCAATGCACCCAGGGCAGTTTCTGAAGTGAAACAAGATTTAGATGAGAATCAGCATTTCACCTCCGTCCTTTTGTCTTGTGAGACTCAGAACTTGAATACACCTTATTCTACATCTATCAGTTTTCTAATGAAGATTTTCAGAGGTACCTCACTTTAACATGTAACACTGTTCACAAGTTCTGTTTGGAGACAGTACTAAAATAGAGAATACCCTGGGTGGTCATCCAGTCACAAACCCTAAGAAGAGGCAACATGCAAGGAAACTGCAACCAATCACTAACGTCATCTTAAAACTACCACTAACCTTAAGATTTGTGGCCTCTGCCAACTGTATGTTTCATACTACACTGTGGCCCCTACCTAAAACATTACCACGTTCACTTCCAAATCCCCTTTAAATTCTACCTTGACAACTATCATTTTTCATCCACTTCTTTCTATTTATTTTTTCCTCCTGTAGCAGCTTTGTATTATTTAATAATTTGGTTTATATTTTGTCATACTTCAGCTTACTTTTCCTCTCTGAATCACTTATCTTTTCCATTCTCTTTTCCCTATCTAGTCCCCCTTCACGTACACCATGTTACATGATCAGAATGAGAAAAGCAGCAACTGGCAATTTCAAGCAACAGAATATTCACAACAACTCATGGGGACAAGCCATTATTTGATGGCTTACCATTCCCCTCCTAATTCCAATTCTTTGAATAATCTTCCTTGCTGATGTTGCAGGATGGGTAGAGTACATATTGAAGTCATCATTTACTCGAGGAATGTGGGGGTAAAAGGGCTCAGTGAAAGAGAAAGGGGGCAAGGAAAAAAATGACTAAATTAACAAGACATGTACCTGCCATCACTTTGGAGGTCTGGTCTGGATTGCCTTTATCTTTTGTCTGACACCTTTATAGACTATAAGGTCCTTTTTTCGCCCCCCAAAGAGAGGGGGCAATGGGAAATGAGAATGTATATACATGTACGCATACATATTTACAAACACACACTATTCCACACTGATGTAGCTCTCAAAATGCATGTGGCACAGCACATATGTACACAGACAAAATGAGAGCAATGTGAACATCGTATCATGCATTCTGATAAGATTTTCAAATGGATCCATAAGCAAGAAGAGTATGGGGTGCTAGAGAAATACTTTGGTGATGCACTCACATTCAATTTATTAATTCCCTTGGAAATGGGACACCTATACTTATGTTAGCCTGCAAATCCCATTTTCAAAGCAAGCTTCCTGATCTTCAGGATACAGCTCTACATTCTCTCATCTCCAGCAGCAATGCCAACTGAAGTTAATTTAGCATCAAAATAACTAGGATGAGAAAAAACAGCTGAAGCCTATTGAAGCCAGGAAGATTTGTATGTTAGGCCCACCTAAGAAGCATCCATTTGTAGAGAGATCCAACTGGGCTTTCACAGCCAGCTTATTATGTACTGAGAAGCAAAGCCTAGCAAACTACAGAAAATCCCAAATTAAACGTAAACTACTTTTCTCTTGAGAAGAAAGCACCACAAATAAACAGCATAACATTAAGAGAAGTTACCATTGGGTTTTAAAGTTACCATTGATAAGCAGTTCTTCCAAATTATCAGGATTCCTAGCCAGCTGCAGGATGAGGGCAGAGCCGCGCACCTTGTCAGGAATGTCTTCATACAGTAACTCAATGTATTCATCCATGTCATTGATATTGGCAACTTCATCAATCTGAAAGCAGTCGTAAGCAGGGGTTTCACACAGAGAGAGAGATGTCAATTCAAGACAATCAATCACAATGTTATTCAATTCCAAGACAAAAGAGCGCACAGCTTTAAGATCTTAGGAAAAAATAAAATACAAGGGAAAAAAAAAATCAACACATCCAGAATCACTGCCAACGAACACCAGGAAATTTGAGAAGATTTAATTACAAAAAACAAAGGATGCTCAGACATGACTCCCTGTATCCTGTCCGATGTTCCAGACCTCACTTGCTGTCCTGCTGCGTGCTATAGTTGGAGCGGGAAGTATACAAGTCAAATATTTTACCCTTTATGGAGATTATTTTTATTCCATTGTGCAATATTTCCAAACCAAGTTCTTTGTTTAAAAAACAAGAAGCAACCCCCCCCCCCGCA